AAAGAAATAGTCACTTATATTGACTAAGGAAAGCTTCGATTTAGTTTTGTGGTATAAGTAAAGCGTTTGATAGGGTATGGCAGTAACTGCTAACCTAAACTTAGGACATATGATATTGGTACATGTAGGAACTTACTTATCTGGTTTGAAAATTATTTACCAGATAGATTAAGAAAAATAGTACTGAAGGGTATCACACTCAGTTTAATGTTACGAATACTGGGGTACCACAGGGATCTATTCCTCGACCACTGCTGGTTTTTGTATTGCATTATTGATATTACTGAAAACAGTTTTTTGATAAAAAAAAATCTTTTTTTTTTTTCAAATAATACTTCTCTGTATGTGATTATCAACAGAAATCCACTCATGCCGTCCAAGCTCTCACCAATGACCTTGTACAAATAGTAAATGAACAAGTATCTGGGATGTCAATGTCAACCCCCAAAACTATATCAGTTGTATTTTCTAGAAATTTTAACTACATACACACCAATAGCATTCCAACAGTCAAATCACAGAAACAAACAGTTAGGACTATAGGATAAACTGGTAAAGACGCTGCTTCACGAATACAGCATATTCAGACTATAAATGAAAAGGCTGACGGCCAAAAATTGCTATTGTATGTTAAAACTAAGATAGATCAAACATTAATAATGTAAACTTATATTGTATCTTTAGACCAATTTCTGAATACACAGATATATGGTATATATGGTATTTGCGCCCTACAATCGAGAGAACTTCCCGAACTATACAACTAGAAGCTGCTAGAACTGTTTCTGATCTATGCTTTTGGACTTCACAAAAGAAACTTTACAATGAACCTGGACGTGAAACTCTGTGAGAAGGTATAAACATCAACGTATACAGATATATAAAATATTGCATGGGCTATTACCACACAAGATGTCTCAGATTCTAGGACATTCTAGACTTTTAACCCAAATCTATATGCAGAAACAACAACTATTTTGACATTTTCGTCCACTTCATATGACGCAATGTTAATACTATGGATGCTTATCTTCTTAATTATCTATCCCCTGCATTGTTTAACGCCAAAGACAACGGTTTTGACAGTGAAGCGTCTACAATTTTAAACATATTTGAGGTAGGACCGATAAACTACTTGCCTAGAAAGAAATTATTGTAGCAAATTAAATTTGATTGATACGATAACCACCTGATACACAGTATGACTTATGTTTGTTCCACTTAAATGTGAAATAGTTTCTCATTATTTTCTTGATTTTCCACTGTAATGAAAAAGGAAGGGTCTATTTACTTCTTTCAACAATCATAGCAATCATAACCATATCAGTATACATATTTAAGAAAAAAAGGTTGCCATGATTGTGGTTTTAATACAAACAGACTGATATCAAGTCGTGTTTAGTCTTGATTAGAAAACTTGAAAACTTACACTAGCAATTTGTTTCAGAATTGTAAAAGACACATTTCATCAAAGATTAATTAGCTCAAAATTGTCAAAGGATCACCAATTTCCTCGCGAAGTACCACAAACACGAGGTGTGTACAGCCGAACCAGTTCACAGCGTCAATATAGGGTATGACTACAATTAGCAATAATGAAAGCATTGCACCGACGCAAGATAGGCCCAACAAGTTTGTTGACAAATGCCTGTGGAATGCCGTTCCTGATGCGAACTAACGCATAGGAATGCTCAGCCAACGTTACAGGCTTATTTGACAGTTGACATAGCCTTCGTTGCATCTCGTCTCATATGCCTCGATGGGAAAAATGTCAGGCGATACTGCAGGGGCGCATATCTAAACGTTATGGACGAATGTAAAGCTTAGATTGGAAGCAGTTCGCAAGTTTACAAAGCGGGTGTAATTATCCTAATTGTCATAATAACGTCACACGCGGACGTCCTGTCTCGGTGCGGTCCATGGTGTTACTCGTCTGCTGGAAACGTGTCCATAATCCGGTACACACCAAAGCGCCCAGCAACAAAATTTTGGTCAGCACCAGCTTAAATCATTTAAACCGCTTGGTTGCGCGGACATTTCACTCAGTCTAGGCATAACTTACCAAACACGCCCACCAGGTATAAATGTGTTTTTCTGTTTGTCTTGGATGTAGGATCTACACAACAGTAACAAGGTCGGTAAAGAGTGTGAAACTTACTTGATAGCTAAGACAAATGCTAAATCTGACACGTACACAAGGACATCAGAATGCAACTGACAAAACGCATTCACCATCGAAGGTTTATAAGGAGTGTGCATATGTTATTTGCTTCGTTTAGTGTTGAAACAATATTATAAATGTGTATATTTTATTTTTATGTGCGCACAGTTTCTTTTTGCGTTAGCATACATTCTATACATGTGGACTTTTGGTCAATGCTACCGACTGTGTTCTGTATAGTGACATTTGATGTAATCGTAGAACGAGTTCCTCTCCATATTTTTATGAGCGGGAGTTATCTCCCTTGCTTTATTATAATCTCGTTATTCTGTATTATTTTTCTTTTCAAAGTAACTGGAACTTAATAAATCAATATTTTGTTTATATATGTGATTAAATCTCCTGGTCACGCATGGAAAGAATTTATACAGACTGTTATTCAATCGATTTGACGTTAACAACTTTGTCAAAAGAATTGAAAATAATGTACACCAACCTTCAAAAACACTAAAAGTATAAGTGTCTGCCAACTACCGGTCGATCTCGTTCACCTCAGTGTATAGCAAGATAGTTCAGTATGTAATTACCATCAGCATCATGATGAATGGAGAACAAATCCGTACAACTTACAACCTTCACAAAGGAAGGTCCTGCGAAACACAGCTGAGAAAGTTCCTTGAAGACATGAACTTCATCTTGCAAATTACCAACAAACAGTTTGTTTACCCATAACTTTGACGCATGGTTTAAGAGGGGAGTTAACTTCTGTATCGGCAACTAATCAGTATAGTTGCTGTTGACAATAAATTATCAAGAAAAGCGAAATTCGAAATAGGAGTGAGTACCACAAGGCACAGTTTTCGGTCCAAGCTAGTTGATATACTATGTAAACGAACTCATCAAGCTGGGTGTTATTACCTCAGATCACAAACCACAATCCACAAACTAGATACATCTGAAGCTGTCATAGATCAAATGTTGACTCGCTACAGGCTTTTCCACATGGACGGGTGTGTATGGCCCATAGCTGTTTATATTTTGATATCTGTAGGTTACCTACTACAGCTACAAATGGTGGCTTCAGTAACGGTGAATCTAGATATTGTGGAACAATATGCTCTAAAACGAACCACTTAGAAGTCCTGTTCAGGCCGAACCATGTACCTCCTGTCTTCAAATGACAAACATGATTACAACTCTCCCGGACACGCCAAAAACCCACCCATAATCAAGGTCTCGGATAATTTTATTAAATGTTTTGACTTCTAGTTCTACTGCACGTTCATTCAGTGTGTCTTGTCTAGCAGTTCTTCCTCTTCGTATATGATGAAAAGTTAAGCTGATGCGCTACATCTGCGAGGAGGAGTACCTCTTATGATTTATGGCCATAACAACGTCTATACCCTATTCATATTCACAAAAGCAAGGTTCTTCTGTTGACAAGAAATATGCTAGCACAGTTTTGCAAGCTTTTGTTGGTAGTCCTCGTCTATTTTGTACCTTTTCATACAGAACAATTGATTAAATGTCAAAGTTTAACAATATCTGTCTGCAAACTTTGCCAGTGGGTCAACATCCTATGTGTAGACTATGTGGGCAGATGTAAAGTGAAAAATAGTAATATAAATTGATATATGACTTTCTATAAAGTAATGTAAGCCAGCGGAAAGATCGCAAGAATAGAATAGCCTACACTGTATCAAGAAGTATGAAGCTATAGACATTGTTAGTTGGAAACACAGACTCCATCTTCCCTGATTTTATTTGAAGACAGATTGTATGGTTTGAATGAGGTCTCCTACGTCATCTTAGCACGCTATGTTTTTACATTTGTTTCGAATAGTCGGCGTTTAGTTTAGGTGGTGTTCCGATTGTTCCAGACTTACCTCAGACAGACAATGCTTGGCGCGTATCCCCGCCCTTGTTCTGATGTCTGTGACCTGTCTTGTTCCAGACTTACCTCAGACAGACAAACGCTTGGCGCGTATCCCCGCCCTTGTTCTAATGTCTGTGCCCTGTCTTGCAAGTAATACTCCCTATGTTAATAGATTGCATGTAAAGATACACATCTTCCTTTGCGTGTCCACAGTGAAAAGGTCTAGTTATTGAACATTTGATTTGCCATTGTCTACCAGATAAAACCCATACATTATTGAAGCTATACAATACTAGAGTATTTTTAAACAGTATGAATTTCCATTCCAAAATCTTGTATTCGACAGTGTCTTCGTGTTGTGATGCATTCTGGGTGATACTGATCGGATCAAATGTCTTTTAAATAGATCAGAATCATATTATTCTTAATTCCATTTCACCAATACTTCACTACAGTACTGAAGTATTGACAGAATTTCAGTAAGAATAACGAAAATAATGGTCAGGTTTAAATCCAGACTGAGATTTGTAAATTAAGAATTGATAAATTATAGAGCACTATTTCAGATGCTTTCTCTACTTTGCTTAAATATGAAGGTATCAATCTATTTACTAGGACACTGACAAATACGATTTTTTTTAGATATAGTAAATCTTGCTCATGAATATTTCAATTCAAACTAAATCAAACACAGTCCAGTGTTATCAAATAAGTTGTAACCCTAGTTTCCTATATTTTGCCCAACTTTACAGAACAAAGGTATGCCCTTCATATCAATCAAAACGTATTTCCTTAGTTCAGGGTTTTTACTGGAAAGTTTATCGAAAGTTTTTTTCAGCTAGTCTAGTGATAGATCTAAGAAAAAGATTGATGTAGGGAATGATGGGCAACACAACACATAAGCATAAATTAACGTGGCTTGAAGTCCATTGAGCAATAAAAAAAAAAATAAGGAAAACAAAATCATATTTCATCAATTTAATCATAAATGTACATCAAAAACATATAGCTTACGTAAAGGTACAAGCCGTACAATGTAGCTACCAGCTGTATCAACATACCGTACAGTATAGCTACCAGCTGTATCAACATACCATACAGTGTAGCTACCAGCTGTATCAACATACAGTACAGTATAGCTACCAGCTGTATCAACATACTGTACAGTGTAGCTACCAGCTGTATCAACGTACCGTACAGTGTAGCTACCAGCTGTATCAACATACAGTACAGTATAGCTATCAGCTATATCAACATACCGTACAGCGTAGCTACCAGCTGTATCAACATACAGTAGAGTATAGCTACCAGCTGTATCAACATACTGTACAGTGTAGCTACCAGCTGTATCAACATACAGTACAGTATAGCTACCAGCTGTATCAACATACCGTACAGTATAGCTATCAGCTATATCAACATACTGTACAGCGTAGCTACCAGCTGTATCAACATACAGTAGAGTATAGCTACCAGCTGTATCAACATACAGTACAGTATAGCTACCAGCTGTATCAACATACCGTACAGTATAGCTACCAGCTGTATCAACAAACCATACAGTGTAGCTACCAGCTGTATCAACATACCGTACAGTGTAGCTACCAGCTGTATCAACATACTGTACATTGTAGCTACCAGCTGTATCAACATACCGTACAGTGTAGCTACCAGCTGTATCAACATACCGTACAGCGTAGCTACCAGCTGTATCAACATACCGTACAGCGTAGCTACCAGCTGTATTAACATACTGTACAACATAATTACCAGCTGTATCAACATACTGTACAGTGTAGCTACAAGCTGTATCAACATACTGTACAGTGTAGCTACAAGCTGTATCAACATACCATACAGTGTAGCTACCAGCTATATCAACATACAGTACAGTATAGCTACCAGCTATATCAACATACTGTACAGTATAGCTACCATCTGTATCAACATACTGTACAGTGTAGCTACCAGCTGTATCAACATACTGTACAGTATAGCTACCAGCTGTATCAACATACCGTACAGTGTAGCTACCAGCTGTATCAACATACTGTACAGTATAGCTACCAGCTGTATCAACATACCATACAGTGTAGCTACCAGCTATATCAACATACTGTACAGTATAGCTACCAGCTGTATCAACATACCGTACAGTGTAGCTACCAGCTGTATCAACATACTGTACAGGATAGCTACCAGCTGTATCAACATACTGTACAGTATAGCTACAAGCTGTATCAACATACCGTACAGTGTAGCTCCCAGCTGTATCAACATACCGTACAGTGTAGATACCAGCTGTATCAACATACCGTACAGTGTAGCTACCAGCTATGTCAACATACTGTACAGTGTAGCTACCAGCTGTACCAACATACTGTACAGTATAGCTACCAGCTGTATCAACATACTGTACAGTATAGCTACCAGCTATATCAACATACCGTACAGTGTAGATACCAGCTATGTCAACATACTGTACAGTGTAGCTACCAGCTGTATCAACATACTGTACAGTATAGCTACCAGCTGTATCAACATACCGTACAGTGTAGCTACCAGCTGTATCAACATACCGTACAGTGTAGCTACCAGCTATATCAACATACCATACAGTGTAGCTACCAGCTGTATCAACATACTGTACAGTATAGCTACCATCTGTATCAACATACTGTACAGTGTAGCTACCTGCTGTATCAACATACTGTACAGTGTAGCTACCAGCTGTATCAACATACCGTACAGTGTAGCTACCAGCTGTATCAACATACAGTACAGTATAGCTAAATAATTTTGTTGTGTGTGAAAATATAAACATAGATTTATTTGTAAATTTAACAACCAAAACTTGCAAATAGTTTTCTTTGTAAACGGAATGATAAAACGGAATGCTTGTTTATAATAACATTGAACAAGGAATAATTCCAATGCTGCAATTATATAAATATATTGTATTTCAAAGTGAAGGAAATTTGTTTCAAAAGGTTGCTTTCACCAGTACAAAGAGTGGCAGTGATATATTCCATTACAACATATAGTTTTATATTAACAGGGGAAATAGTCCTCTTTATTAATTTACAAACAATGAAAACAAACATGTACATAAATATATTGTGTCCACACTACATATTTGTTCACTAGCAGAGATAAATCGGTGGCGAAAAAAAATCATTTGTTTGTTACTGAATGCTGATTTTTTTCTTTTTTTCTCAATCAGATCAACTTCATAAAAACCCGTTTTAATTCAAGGTGAAGAAACAATGCCCCCAATATCTCAGTTAAGCCAATCACAAGAATTCATTTGAGTTTCGATAGAATTATTTCTGGCCTTGGTTTTGTGACTAGAATACTACAATTATTAGATAATGACATATCAAGACTAGGAGCCAATATGATTCTGTAACAATACAATAGGAAATGATAATATTGGAACATAATACAACTGGTTGTATTATAATGGACAGCTTCAAAATAATGTCTGGAGACCAAGTTGATAAAAATAATTAAACCCTGACAAAATCATATTGAAATTTATCTAATGACAAACAAGAGGCCCATGGTGGCTGTATCACTTATCCATGATTTATAGCAAAATTTTGATGCCCTGGTAACTTGAATTCCTTTACCACCCAAAGGTGTGGCATTTTTTTACTCATCCTTGTAAGCCTATCTGTAGACAGTACAATTAGAAAACAAGATGTTTAGTGCATGAATAACATAGTCTTTTAATTAGCTAAAATACTGATGATGAAAAAATTAATTATAAGCTAGTTATAGCCCAGTAATATTTTCCTCTGGGAAACTTTCAGATGGGGAAATAAATGACTTTGATAGCTACACCGACAGTAGTCTAAAAAAGAGAAAATGTCAAAAAGTTGGTAGATGGACAATTGCTGAACAAAAAAAACTTGCACCACAGTACAAAAATGTATGGTAACAGCTGTTCAAGCCAATGAGAACAGAGTTAAAAGCTGACAAGGTTGTACAAATAAATCATTTTCATTTCAACAAGTAGTTTCTTAGATATTGAGGTACTAATGTAACATTAGTAATGTGTCGACATTTTGTAAGGTCAATGTTGATGTAATAGAGGAGTCATCTTGATCATATATTTTTTTATTCAATCACATTTTGTATGTGATATAGAATTTTTAGAATTTTGTAAATTACAAATATATACAAACATAAATACATTCCAATAATTCTATTTACAAACATATAAACGACGTACATGTATCTACAGTTTACAAAAATACCAGTACACCGACCCTGTGCATAGATTATACAAAAGACCATCAACTCTGTGTGTAGAGCTTAAAAACTTGAACAATCAACAGAACCAGCTGTCCTTTAAACACAATACAAACACCTTCAGTCCAACTGCAAAAATTCAATCTGCATCCACATTTTTTGTACATAATACATGACATGATTTGGCAAAAACTGTCTTCAACAACTACACAAACCCACTTGACAAATTTAGATTAAAAAACCCAGTTGCATTTCTTTACAGTTTAGACTTTTTCTTTTTCTTGGATATCACCAAATAATTTATTGGCATTGAAATCTAGAATACATTGCAAGTTTAAGTAATATGTTAAGTAGACCGGTCCCTGGCATACAGTATCAACTGAATTAGGTGGAAAAATTGTCTTACAATTGAGATATTATCCTCTTGTAAGATAATTGATGTTCTAGATTTCAGATGTCTTAGATTTCAGGTATTTAAGCAAGAAAATTGATGTTTTAGCTTTTCACAGTCTTAGATTTAAGGTATATTTTTCAGCAAGACAATTGATATCTTACGGCTCCTGATCCATGACATTTCAGATTTAGTAGTTGTTAAGGTATTGGTGATAGTCAAGATTTGAAAAAAAATCCTTAGGTGATAAAGTGTAGATATCTGGTGATAGCGTCCTACATAATCAACCTCTCTGAGAGTTGTAAAGATCTTAAGGTGAAACAGATTTGTAGGAGTTTTAGATTTAACTGTTCCTTGGCCTGGTTGGTAAGGCACCGGTACTAAAGCACTATAGGAATATCTACATTGTCATAGTATATCATACACAACTTATCCCCGCACAAAATGTACAATGAAATTGTTTTACAATACTTATATATATATATACAAAGGCAAACATGAATATAAAATTAGATTTTATGTACAATCTGTGTCCTTTGCTGACCAAATGAAAATGTGTAAATCACCATGATATTAAATATAAATATAAGTCTACAATCTCTGACTATAGACTTTACATCATAACACACATATAACAAACTAGTTTCATTTAGAAGGAATGGCAAGATATCGTAAACTGTGTGACAAGTCTGTGCACTGTGATCGACATCAACGTATAATCACGTAATAAAAATTTGTTACCAATCCGAGCCCTCAAACATTCAGTGTTGTTACAACTGTACATGTACCTGTGACAAAAGACTCATATTAAATCAGACAGGTTTTCTTTATTGACTCGATCTTACAACAAAAGATATACAGTTTACCTGGTAATATGATTTCACAACCTAGCCTCCCGGAAAACCAAACACTCTCCAAAATAATAATGATGTTTACTAGTGATTCTGTACGACATTATAGCATTACATGCGACATAACAATAACATGTAACATTAATTGTGATTTAATTCTAAGTCTAGATATGTAATTAGTATAAAAAATATATGAACAATGCTGTTTTGACTAATACATTAAATAATGTAATGACAAAGATTAACCTCCAGAGTTTGTGAAATGCCAGATATATGACGTATGAAATAATTAGCTGTTTGTTTTAGTATTTGCAGACAATATAAAATCCAATTAAATCAAGCTTTTATCTTTACAAGAAACATATTTTCTGCATGATAATCTAGTCTTAAGGGTGAGGTATACATGTTTTACATTAGATATATCACAGTATTTAAAATTTCTCCATAGATATGGTATCTATTTTGATTCCCAAGGCAAAAATGGTTAAAAAAAAATAAACAACAAAAAATGCGTAATTCATTAATACTGATGATTTTATACATTACGTGTATTAACCGGTGAGGGTATATAATATTAGTGGTTTTATAATAAAGACAGAAAAAATGTCAAAGGTCAGATCTGTTGGAGACGAATGTCAAATGGTCAGATCTGTATTAATAGAATCTATCGCTACTGGTTGTGTAAGATAGAGAAATCTCGACCCGAGGACCAAGATGTTTTGTCCAGAACGAGGCTTGCCGAGTTCTGGACAAAAAATCTTAGTCCGAGGGTTGAGATTTCTCTATCTTACACAACCAGTAGCGATTGATTATTTTTCTCCCATATCTAACAGTATTTTAATGTGAAATAAAGGTAAACATGGACCCAAAACACATACAGGCAATTTGTTGATGGATTGTTGACGTGACGTCATTGTATTGTTGAAGTGACGTCATGCCATTGTTATGAATAGGGGAATCCCCCCGTCTCAACCCTAGGGCGGAGACAGATAAATCTAGCACCGGCAAAACGGGAGATAAATCTGTCAGGTGTGGGAGAAAATTATATCTATGAACTGCAAGCATGAAAAAAAAAAAATTACTTTAAACATTAAACATTAAAAATAAACACTTAATCTCTCTCATTTAGTTTTATGTGGTACAATATATATACATATAACAAATCTGACAGGTGGTTAAAATTAATGGGCGATTAAATTGTCTGGCAGTACTAGAGTGTATTTAACATACTCTGAACTCAACAACACGTCAAGTACAATCAATATACTAAGTCAATACCCACACTGACCAAAGTCTCCGGCAGATCATGTTCCTAGAACGTGGACTAATAATGTACTCACAAAAAAACCTGATCTATAAAATGTTTAATATGTTTGTAGCATTAAATAATACAAGTCCTTTGTGCAAGAGAAAAAATGATTTTGGAATGTATAATATAACAAATCTATCATTGTTTAAAAGAAATTCTCTTTTAAAAGATGACATTATGATGGTCATTCAACAAGGTATATTAAGCTTTATAATCAATGCTAGCACCACATACAACAGAGAGACAAAACCCTACCATACAATATGACACAGTGTCAGCTGTACCTTTCTTTGATAGAAGCAAGCCCTACCGCACAATGTGACACAGTGTCAGCTGTACCTCCCTCTGATAGAAACAAGCCCTACCACACAATGGGACTACGTCAGCTGTACCTTCCTCTGATAGAAACAAGCCCTACCACGCAATGTGACAGTGCCAGCTGTACCTTCCTCTGATAGCAACAAGCCCTACCACACAATGTGACAATGTCAGCTGTCCCTCCCTCTGATAGAAACAAGCCCTACCACACAATGTGCCTACGTCAGCTGTACCTTCCTCTGATAGAAACAAGCCCCACCACACAATGTAACACAGTGTCAGCTGTACCTCTCTCTGATAGAAACAAGCCCTACCACACAATGGGACTACGTCAGCTGTACCTTCCTCTGATAGAAACAAGCCCTACCACACAATGTGACTACGTCAGCTGTACCTTCCTCTGATAGAAACAAGCCAGTGCTGCCATTTCACCACTCACAGCTAGCATTCTACAATTCTAGTACTGCCCAACCGCTTACTCATGATTTACACCTGAGTAGACTGGAATAAGCGGAGTAAAGTATCTTGCTCAAAGATACAACACAGTGCTGTGCCGTGACTCGAACACTATATTTTGGAAGATGGTTTCTTGTGATGTGTTGGAGGTTTTGAAATTGTCCATTCATGATTTGACACTTTGTTAATGTATGCACTAAATAAATGATTGCTTTTTCATGAGATATTGTTTCCAGGTAGAAAAGTATGTATGTCTCTAGGTAGGTAAGTGTGTTTTGTCTCCAGGTAAGTATCGTTAGGGAAACTTCAGGATTCTTAATCAGCATTCTCTGATTTAAAGTAAAACAGAAATGATAAGTATTGAAATGTCTGCCACTGCATGGTCACAATCACCTGGTAAACAAGGCACAATGCATATAAATATTAGGCACTAGTACGGGAATTACCTCCCTTTAATTTTCACAGGTGGGATGAAAGACATGTATGTATAGATGGTCAATAAAGAGGTCACTAGATTGTGAAATGAGACGAGAACACTTTGACAGTTAATGCCCAGTTAATAGCAGTGTAATCTACATACCCCTAAATCAACTCTCACTAGTTGAGAACTTTGCACAATCCCTGTACTGACTAAATTCCAATGGACTAAAATATTTGGCATTAAGACAAATGTAATGCCTTGAAAGACACATAATTACAATCTTTCCTATAAAGGCACTGTGTGGTCAGTTTGGTTCTACATTTCTTGCTGTAGGTTTTCCTTCTCCAGTTCCACATTGTGTGGGTATTAGGGGATCCACCCTCTATCATTCCTTTTCTTGTCCTCATAATTAACTCTAAAATCAGCATTGCTTGAGTGTAGATTCCCGATTCATGGCACTTCCACATTGATGCCTTCATCATCTGCAATGAAAAGTAAAACATTGAATAACTCTTTACTTTTCAATAAAGCCAGGTATCTCCATACAAGTTATTTAACACTACATGCTAATGACAATGGGTCTACATGAATGAGTCTGTTTACTATAAAATAATGACATATTTGACTTCAGAAAAGGCAAATAAATACATCAATGCACCCTCTGATCATTTTGGTTGATTTTGGCAAAAATCATGTACTTTTAAGCCTAATGCTAATCAAGCCACTAAGATCCCAACTATCCAACCCCTTTAATAACCTTGATGTCTGCCTATCGTACCCCTATAATAACCTTGATGTCCGCCTATCCTACCCATATAGTAACCTAGCTGTCCACATATCCAGCCCCTATAATAACCTAGCTGTCCACATATCCAGCCCCTATAATGACCTAGCTGTCCGCCTATCCAGCCCCTATAATGACCTAGCTGTCCACCTACCCAGCCCCTATAATGACCTAGCTGTCCACCTATCCAGCCCCTATAATGACCTAGCTGCCCACCTATCCAGCCCCTATAATGACCTAGCTGTCCACCTACCCAGCCCCTATAATGACCTAGCTGTCCACCTATCTGCCCACTATACTAACCTAGCTGTTCACATATCCAGCCCCTATAATGACGTAGCTGTCCACATATCCAGCCCTAGCCCCTATAATGACGTAGCTGTCCACATATCCAGCCCCTATAATGACCTAGCAGTCCACCTATCCAGCCCCTATAATGACCTAGCTGTCCACATATCCAGCCCCTATAATGACCTAGCTGTCCACATATCCAGCATATCCAGGCCCTATAATGACCTAGCTGACCACATATCCAGGCCCTATAATGACCTAGCTGTCCACATATCCAGCCACTATAATGACCTAGCTGTCCACATATCCAGCATATCCAGGCCCTATAATGACCTAGCTGACCACATATCCAGCCCCTATAATGACCTAGCTGTCGACATATCCAGCCCCTATAATGACCTAGCTGTCCACATATCCAACCCCTATAATAACCTTGATGTCCGCCTATCCTACCCATATAATGACCTAGCTGTCGACATATCCAGCCCCTATACTAACCTAGCTGTCAACCTATCCAGCCCCTATTATAACCTAGCTGTCAACCTATCCAGCCCCTATAATAACCTAGATTGATACCTATCCAGCCCCTAATAATCTCTCTCTTTACTGCGAGTATATTACAGAACTTTCCAGGGTAAGAAAGGGATGTCAGAAATGTTTATATTACGGTAATGCACCCTATTTCATGTGCATGATGTCGAAGTGGGACAACAATGATGTGATGCCAGGAAATTGCAACTCTTTTGGGGGGGTTTCAGAATGAATTCTAGTGATTGGAATGAGAGAATAATACTCTTTCATGTCCACGGGTGTGGATAGGGAAATTCCATCTCTGGGTTTTCAAATTGGTGCAAAGCCCTATAGGCAGAGCCTCAGATTTTACTCCATTTGAAAACCCCTTTGGTGGAATGTCCTTATCCTGAACCTCTGGGCAAGAAAGAGTCTTATAATCCCATATCCAACCAGTGTGATTTTGGCCCTTTCTATACAAAGTTGTCCAAGTAATCCAGACTTCTCACAACCAAGCATTTTTTTCTGAGAAGAAGAAGATGGCTGGCCAAATTATCAGGATTATCTGCTGAGAAAGAAGGTTGTCAAATTATGTAAAGGAAACAAAGCTTAAGGTTGCCAGTTTGTGTACCATAAAGGAGGGGAGTCAGATCATCTACTGAGAACAAAGGTTACCAGGGGAGCCAGATCATCTGCCTAGAACAAAGGTTGCCAGGGGAGCCAGATCATCTACTGAGAACAAAGGTTACCAGGGAAGCCAGATCATCTACCTAGAACAAAGGTTACCAGGGGAGCCAGATCATCTACCTAGAACAAAGGTTGCCAGGGGAGCCAGATCATCTACTGAGAACAAAGGTTACCAGGGGAGTCAGATCATCTACCTAGAACAAAGGTTGCCAGGGGGGGTCAGTTCATTTACGAGAACAAAGGTTACCAGGGGAGTCAGATCATCTACCTAGAACAAAGGTTGCCAGGGGAGTCAGTTTATCTATGAGAACAAAGGTTACCAGGGGAGCCAGATCATCTACCTAGAACGAAGGTTGCCAGGGGGAGTCAGTTCATTTACGAGAACAAAGGTTACCAGGGGAGCCAGATCATCTACTGCGATCGAAGGTTCCCAGGGGAGTAAGATCATCTACTGAGAACAAAGGTTACCAGGGGAGCCAGATCATCTACCTAGAACAAAGGTTACCAGGGGAGCCAGATCATCTACCTAGAACGAAGGTTACCAGGGGAGCCAGATCATCTACCTAGAACAAAGGTTACCAGAGGAGTCAGATCATCTACCTAAAACAAAGGTTGCCAGGGGAGTCAGTTCATCTACCTAAAACAAAGGTTGTCAGGGGAGTCAGATTATCTACTGAGAACAAAGGTTGCCAGGGGAGTCAGATCATCTTCTGAGAACATTTAGGTTACCAGGGGAGGCAGATCATCTACCAAGAATAAAGGTGCCAGCATATATCTACTGCGAAAGAAGGTGGCAGGCTTGATTATCTCCAGAAAACACAAGTGGCCAACTTATTTCCTGGGACAGACAGTGGCATGGTTACTGAAAAAAAGGGTCTGGATTATCTTCCAGGAATAGATCAGTGGCTATAAGTATCTAACAGGAACATAGATGACGGGGCTGGCACCTTGATGATGGCGTGATCTATATTGGGAATTAAGGTGGCAGGATTATTTTCATTCTAGTATACATGTAACTAGATGAGGAACTTGGGGAGTCAATCTCTCCAGTTCATCACACTAGAGTACTTGACAAGATGGGAAACTTAAAACTCTTGTCTTGTATACCTGAAAATGAATATGGTACGTGAGTCATCCTTTATTTCATTTAACACCATGGCAGATTTACACATCGTATTAGTATACGTATAGGGTGTGAAAACGTGCCGTACACACATTCAGTGTTGATTTTAAGAAATGCTGTTACAGGGCTACGTTAATGTCAGCTGGACTCTGTGACAGCACATTCAGTCCATACCAGCAACTGACAGTGTTCCTGGTGTCAGTTAAGCAGCAGTCCCCATTGAGTAGCAGCAGTGCTAACAGCATGCAGTCAATGGTTATATGGGTAATTTTGCAGAGAAAAACTCTAAAAAATATATACCAAAACTGCAGGAAAAATCGGTGCATCAATATAACATTCAGTAGGCGTGTCAAAATAACCAATAACGTTGATGGGCTACCTGGTCATTATATATACAGTAGAGGATCTCAGTCTGTCAAAAATAAACTCACAACTTCCAAGTAATTTGATTTATGATTAATGAAAAGATGTAAGTTGACAACAATATCGGAGGGATCATTTGTCAAATCTAAGGTTCACTCACGGCTACAGGCAATCAACTTAGCTGAGCTCTTGTGGCAGATTAAAACAGGAAGCAGTTAATTACAGTCTGGCAAGTAACCTTGGAAACCAACAAAGTTCACTATTATTTCCAAATTTCAAACTCATGCAATCCAAACTTGTAAAGTTGGACATGATCATCAGATTCTAATTAATGAAAACAATGTCATTCTTGAAAGGATTAATATTAATAAACATGCATGGTCAAACAAATCATGCTTATCAAAAATAGATGGGTGTCTGATTCATATGGTGAGTGAGTTCATTGGCTCCTGGTCCTAGATGTAGCAGATTTCAATGTTCAGCTTCCAATATCTACAATGTACTTGTTATATAACAAGGTAACTTGGAAATATAGCAAGATCCTAGCCTCGGCTACCATTGGATGATAATTAAGGTCATGCTATAGTCCTCTGTGGGAGAACAAAGGGTCATGTTTCTGCCTCCTGCGTGACGTCAATAAAAGGACCAAAGCTTCCATTTCCGATGGGAGGATAAAAGCCCTGCTACTGGTCCAAATAAGAGGATACAGGACCATGTGACAGTCCAGTGGGAGGATAGGCTAGTCTCCTGTAACCTAATATTATAGACTTTAATATCCAAGCCAATTCACCCTTCTAGTTAGAACATATAGATCTTAGTCACTGTAGTCAAATCCTGTCTAAAACATCTACTTTGTCATAAGTACACTCCCGGTAGAGAATAAAAAAGTAAAAATTAATTAAATTTTGAATGAAAGTTTTTCAATGATAAAATACCATGCATGTTTTCAAGGCAGAACAAAAGAACAATCACAAACAAAACAAAAACACATTTTACCAGAGTCGTGCAATAGACAATACCTATGCATTTAGTTCAAAATAACAACTTTAAAGAGATATAAAGTATGAGAGAGTCAAAAAACGCACCTTTGTCATGAGCTGGAATCAAAGATTTAGGCAGGGCATAATGTACTAAAATGTCACATGAATTGACTGATTGACATATATATATCAGCAGTAACACTAACTTACATCTATTAAGTACTAACAGTAATTAATATACCTCTACTTTATTTACTCTATATAAAAGTAATTGGTTAAATCGAATATATCCCTACTTTTGCCTGACTGTGTTTTAGTCCTATGTGTAATTAGTCTGGGAACTAAAACACACCTACACTCGGGTTTTTCCGCTGAGCCAATCAGGTGAGAGGTGGGCAGAGCTTGTTACCGAACTCGGAAGCGATGCTCAAGGTGAGCGGAGCTTGCTACTGAACTCGGAAGCATTTGGCTCCATTGCCATCAAAAGGGTAGTTGGGACGTGAATCTATATACAGCTTATGGTTTACAAATATTTTCTAGTTAAAACTATCTCTCCAGTGTGTATCGGTATAATAAAACTGTTTAAGTATAGGGTTTAGGGATATAGCAAGTTTCTGGTGTCCCTTGACCATGCCTATTTCCCTCGGCTTCGCCTCGGAAAAAGACCTGTTCTCAAGACACAAGAAACTTGCTATATCCCTCAACCCCATACTTTAACTGTATACTCACACCTAGTACTAACAGTAACTAACACATAGTACTAACAGTAACTAACACCTAGTACTAACAGTAACTAACACCTGGTACTATCAGTAACTAACACCTAGTACTAACAATAACTAACACCTGGTACTATCAGTAACTAACACCAAGTACTAACAGTAACTAACACCTAGTACTATCATAAACTAACACCTAGTACTAACAGTAACTAACACCTAGAGGTGAGAACTCTGTTATTACACCTGTTAAGTATCAGCTCTTTATAATACAGGACTCATATATGTTATTTAAGTTTCGTCATCTACTCATGATCTATACAATACACATAATGAAAGGTAACTGGCCTATAAGAAACTAGAATTTCATGGAAGTACACTGTACTGTAGATATGTCACTTGTGCTTAACAAGGTTCTGTATGTGTACACTTAGCAGCCTATAAGCAAATAGGGATTTTACTAACGAATAACACTTAATAATAATATATTCAGCTTTGTGTTAAGGAAGATTCTTCTAAGCGGCCTTTATACTGGTATTGCACCCACATGTTTGAAGGTAGAATGGTTTATTTACTCCATGAATAAAATATTGAAGATGTATCTAAGATATTCCTGATAAGTGATAAAATAGATTGAAACTTGAAACAGATTAATGTACATGTAATAAATTAAATAGAAAAATATCTTAATAAATGTGGTGTACCAAACCAACTTTGTCAAAATTTCCAAATCTAATTAAAATTTTGACAGCCATTTCTGGATAATTGAATTCCTTATCAAATTTCAGACATCAATGATGAAATAATTCAATCAATAAACAACCTTATGCAACAATGTATTTTGAAATAAAAAAAAATTGCTATTGATTTATTTGTACTCTAATCTTTTTTGCTTCTAATTTAATTATTTTAACATAGAAAGAGCTGTTTATTTAACATTTACTTACTTTGAATGTCACCATATTATACCTGGTCTTACAATGGAACCTAATGCCTTCTCGACTAGACATTTTAATGTTTTTATCAGTTTCCAAAACAAGCAGATTGTTAGAAATTGATAAATTTTCAATCCTGATGGAAGTATAATTTTAATAAGTTTCAAGCAAGGACGGTGTTACCCTTTCATCTTTTAACATTACGATGTTGAAGATGATCATTACAATATATTCTACTACTTGGTGTTGTAGCATACATTTTCAATAATTCCTAAAGAAATGTACACGCACTACGCACATGCGTTCAATAACACATAGTTCTGTGTGAATAAATACTTGGAACCCAAACCTTTTTTTCACTCAAAAAATATCTTTGTATTTGATAGAAGTGATGCTGTCTTCTTGTCTGTGAAGAAGATGAGGAAATTATCCACAGGGAGTGTATGACAATTAATCTTGTTCACTGTTCCGACACAGAAGTACGTACATACAGAACATACAGTACAAAGTGTTCTGCTAGAGCCAGTCAACAAGGCTGACAGAGCTCTGTATATATCTGCTGTGATATCTTTTCATTACTGTGTGTTACTGTATCTTTGACTTGGTAGAACAAATCTTGTTGTGGACGTTAATTATATGTTTATATACATTTCGATGTAGTGCAGTCATGACAATATCGTATCTGTTCTGGTTTACACGTATTCTGTGTACATTATCGAGTAGACACAAAGGATGTATCACTGACCTTGGTTACCCAATGTTCCTAGAAACTATCTACATTGTAACAGTATCAATAACCGTGCTAATTCAAAGAACCTTTATAACATAAATGACATTGTAGCGTTAACTCCTTGAACTCCTTACACTTTTTATCACACTGCAGCTGCAACTTTTAGAGCCCGGGGCCCTTACAATAATATCAATGACTAAGTTACCTCAATTTCTAGAACCCATTACAATATCATTGACCCTAATTTGCAACCAAGATTCTATAACACCTTTCAATCAAATTTGACCGAACCATAACACTTATTCTAGAACCACTTTCATGTTTACATGAATGGTTTTGCTAGAAACCCACATTTTAGTCGTTTAATGTTTAGCTTGCCTTTTGATATATAGATAGAATGTTTCCACCCAGAAACATGAAACATTTTCCTTTCTGTTAACCCCTTTGTAGCATACAAGTGTATATATAAGTGATATTTAGATAACCTACCTCCAACTGCTACCCAGATATTTTGGGTTCATTAGCTATAGAAAGAATCAGAAGCCAGACAACCTTGCATCTGAGATCTACTTATTTAGATTTCATCATCAGTGTTTATTAACGTACATATTAGTGTGACTACCTGATAGTGTTAACATTCAGGGACAGAAGAAATAAGATACCGCCAACAGGTTTGCTTTTCAAGGAGCTCAGAATGGGATATGGAACTTAGGTGCTTTTTAAAGTAAAATGTAGGGAGGTAAAGTTAATTCAAGGAGAAGTGTATATGATGAATAACAAAACATATGAAAGAGAGGCTACTGGAGTCAAACATCCTGTACTGAAGCACACCTCACTGCCTACAAGTTGATTATGACCAAGCAGACGTGTGGGTAAGTCAATGACTCACCCTATCACAACTATTTGTCAGGGTACGAGACACTGACAAGCTGACTACCAATGCAAGCAAGATCTACTGTAGCTTCAATGAGATTCATCAGTTTGGAAATATGTGATACCAAAGTTTTATTTTTTACACAAACATTTGTACGTGTTCAGCATGACAAAGGCACCAGTCGGTCTTGAAACGTTGCGACACGTTTAACACGTACATTGTTTGTGTAAAAAGTCAAACTTTCTGTAGCTATATCTACTAGGCATACAAAGGCATAGGTTTGCTGTAGGCAGAGTTCTATATATATATTGGCTAGTATTTATAGGTATAGTCAAGCATTGATTTTGGAGGTGGGGTCCTTCTATCTAACAAATAAAGTCAGCACAACATCAGTATAGCTAGGGTCATCATAAAGTCAAGACAAGGTCAAAACAATGTCACCACATGGTCAGGACATGGTCAAGACAATGTCAGTACACAGTCATTACATGATCTTTGACAGGATAGCTCTACATGAAAAGAAACAGGATATTTACTTTGACCACCTCATAACACTTATAGAGCCGCAATGGCCTACCATCAGGTGTCTGGCACATAATTAGATGGCACTTGTATATATGAAAGCTTACTATACTAGAACAATTTTAGTCAACTGTGATTTGTTAACAAAGCATCAGCGATACTCTATATCGGCAGTTTCTAACATTTCCTGTGTGTCAATTCAAATAATCCCCATTTTCTATACACTTTCATGCGTTTGTCAGAATGGAATATGTTTCTTGGTTTCTTACATAGCTCTAGCGTACATATACATACCACAATAATTGGAAATCCTTTCCATTATGCAGTGGAGACTGTTGAAATGATTAAACCAGTCAGATTAAAAATAGGACTATTTATATTAATAAACAGTCTGGTCATACTATCTGCTGTAGAACTTTGTTAGCCAACATGATAGTGCACAAGTGAAGTTCTCAAGTGTGGAACCGTTCATGCTGGCAACTACCATAAATATATTAATTGCATTTGGATATTTTCACATCAATTTATTAAACGTGATAAATGTGAGCATTTCCTACCATGAAATTTACACTAAGTTTACACTAAGCAGCTGTAAGAAACGAGTCGTATAGCACAGAGAACTTTAATAATGATTTTGTAATGATTGTTTTGAAATCATGTCAACCTCCCAAGTTACATAATGAAAGGATCCCAGACTTCACAATATCAGTCACAACAAGTACAGCAATATTTATCAAATATAGCAACCACAAAAGTCTACTACAGGTACATACACCAGGCACTGTGTCAACTACTGGTATACTCACAACAGGCACTGTGTCAACTACTGGTATACTCACAACATCAACTAGGTCAACTACTCACAACAACCATTAATTATCAGCTACATATACTCACAATCTAACACTAATCAATTTCATATGATCACATGACCTACCTTCATAACCTGCGTTTGAGAATGCTGCGTTTTCGTAGACGTGGTGTTCATCCTCCCGCCCCTCTACGACACACAGTACACACTGGTGAATACAGATGTACTGTTGCTGTAAGACAGAAGGAGATAAAGCATGGGAAGATCAGAAACTTTGTTATATTTTCCACATTACCTCATCATGTCTAACCATCTAAACACATGTTAACTGTATCAGTGCTATTCATGGAAGTCAAAACGGTGGCTTGATAGGTTTGTATTTTAATTTACAGTGTCGACCCCATGTAAATCTAGATTCTAAACACAATAATCAAACTTGTAAAATTCCCTCATTTCCCTTATCGTCCCCAAATGATGCCATGCTGTTACTGTAATGTATTACAAACAACAATTTATTTTTATTCCAGTTTAGTAAATATGGTTGGAATCCTTTCACCTGAACATAAGATGTAGGCTTTTAAAGATTTACTCCTATTCCCAACATTGGTCCTGTCAAGAGGCACAAAGAGTCACACATTCCATGTACAAAACACTGAATGGAGTGGTCCTTTAAATCAAATCTCGGTAAAATCCTTTCAACCATGCATACTGATATAACATTTGAAAGATTTTTATTTTTTTTCATTTGGCTGAGCCATCTACCATCTGGAGGATCCACATCCATCATTTATACAACAATAACTTCCCCTGGCACAACAATGATTCAGGTCATATTTGATTAGGACCCTTACCAAAACTTAAAGAAGTGGATTGTAAAGTTAAACCCTTGTTTCCCTATTGGGCCCCAACACTCTGCCTCCATGGGGACCATACCCTTCATTTATAAAATTGCGTCCCCTTTGCCCAATGATACTCCTGACCAACTTCTTGTCAGGCATTCTGGAATGGCTAGAAGCATTTTGAATAAATGCTGATATCAAATGCTGAGCATGCCGTATAAGCTCACTTGCCTTCTAGGCAGATGAGCTAAAAAGAAGTTTTTCAGTGATCTTACATCAAACGTACTGGTCAATGACTCCAAAACGTCTTAAGGAAACCTCCATAAACAAGTTTGCTGACACTTTTCAAAAATGTGCATAACTGCCCTGCAGTTAAATTATTCAAAATGACTTAAATTATTTAAGGAAGCTTTATATTAGATCTGGCAATATACAGTGTTCATTGAATGGAAACAAATTGATATAAAGGACAACAAAACTCATGTGAACATTTTAATACCCTTACCTCTGTCTGAACCATCCAAACACGTTCTCGCCTCATTTCCGCTACTGTTTGGAAGATATCCACCTCACCATGTTCGCCAATATTTTGTAGCATTCTGTCCAATGCTATGTAAGTCCCAGATCTCCCAACACCAGCACTGCACAATACAAACAGCATTAATTCACGGTTACATAGATCTTATATAATCGACATGGTCCCAAACCTCCCCACACAAACACTGTACAATACAAACAACAGTCAGAGATACAGATCTAGACAACAGACAATACCCCAAACCTCCCTCCATTGATATAGATCTAGACACAACAGACAATACCCAAACCTCCCTCTATTGATACAGATCTAGACAACAGACAATACCTCAAACCTCCCTCCATTGAAACAGATCTAGACACACCAGACAATACCCAAACCTCACTCCATTGACACAGATCTAGACAACAGACAACACCCCAAACCTCCCTCCATTGATAAAGATCTAGACACAACAGACAATACCCCAAACCTCCCTACATTGATATAGATCTAGACACAACAGACAATACCCAAACCTCACTCGATTGATACAGATCTAGACAACAGACTATACCCAAACCTCCCCCAATCGATACAGATCTAGACACAACAGACAATATCCCAAACCTCCCTCCATTGATACAGATCTAGACACAACAGACAATACCCCAAACCTCCCTCCATTGATATAGATCTAGACACAACAGACAATACCCAAACCTCACTCCATTGATACAGATCTAGACAACAGACAATACCTCAAACCTCCCTCCATTGATACAGATCTAGACCACAGACAATACCAAAAACCTCCCTCCATTGATACAGATCTAGACCACAGACAATACCAAAAACCTCCCTCCATTGATACAGATCTAGACCACAGACAATACCAAAAACCTCCCTCCATTGATACAGATCTAGACAACAGACTATACCCAAACCTCCCTCCACTGATACAGATCTAGACAACAGACAATATCCCAAACCTCCCTCCATTGATACAGATCAAGACACAACAGACAATACCCCAACCCTCCCTCCATTGATCCAGATCTAGACACAACAGACAATACCCAACCCTCCCTCCATCGATACATATCTAGACACAACAGACAATACCCCAAACCTCCCTCCATTGATACAGATCTAGACAACAGACAATACCAAAAACCTCCCTCCATTGATACAGATCTAGACAACAGACAATACCCCAAACCTCCCTCCATTGATCCAGATCTAGACACAACAGACAATACCCAAACCTCCCTCCATTGATACAGATCTAGACAACAGACAATACCCCAAACCTCCCTCCATTGATACAGATCTAGACAACAGAC